AACCATTAAGTTCACAAGCATTGCATTTCTTTAATGAAGATAATATATTCAAATTACTAACTAGTTCTTTTGCACGATTAAATGCAGCTAAAATAATATTTTCACCATTATTTAATTCTCGTTGCTAAGGGCTGTAATGGAGGGCGGGGGGGGGGGGGGTGATGTTCTCTTTCTCCGTTGCTAAGTGTCTATAATCGGGTGGGGGAGAGAGAGCCATCAAACCTCGAACTGAAAACGTACACTCACTATTTTCTTCGAAAATATACGTGAGTTCCACAAAACAGACTTTTGGGAGCAATCAATTTTCAATATCATTCCTGTTCGTGGTTCTCGGAAGACACTAGTTACTCTGTTATGAATAAGGGTGTCAATTTATATTTACTTTCCATTTAATTTACGCGTGAATTAAATGATAAATAATTTATATTTATTATAAAGTAAACGGTAAATGACACCCCTACTATTTGATAAGTTTTGTTTTTTTGCATGTTATAGAGGTTTCATGTAATTTCTATAAGATTTTTTGATACGCATGGAATTTGTCTCTTGAAGTCCTATGAAGTCTTGTGAAGTCTTGTGAAGTCTTGTGAAGTCTTGTGAAGTTTTATAAAGTCTTGTGAAGTTTTATAAAGTCTTGTGAAGTTTTATACAGTCTTGTGAAGTCTGATGAAGTCTTATAAAGTCTCAAGAAGTCCTACAAAGTCTCTGAAGTCTCATGAAGTCCCTGAAGTCTCACGAAGTCTGTGAAGTCTAACGAAGTCCCTGAAGTCTCACGAAGTCTGTGAAGTCTAACGAAGTCCCTGAAGTCTCACGAAGTCTGTGAAGTCTAACGAAGTCTTTGAAAGTTTTTTGAAGTCCCATGAAGTCCCATGAAGTCATACGAAGTCTTATGAAGTCTTGCGAAGTCATTTGAAGTCCTATGAAGTCTTCAGAAGTCTTTAGAAGTCTTTCGAAGTCTTGTGAAAAGATGAAGTCACAGCGGGTGAAGTCTGTTGAAGTCTTTTGAAGTCTTGAAGTCCGCTGTTTCCCCCTTGGCTGAAGATTGAGATAAGACTCTAGCATCACCCACTCCCTTCGTCGAAGTGTTGATTTTTAGTACATTTATGGATAGTCCTTTACAATCAAACCTAAGGACTTGACTATATATGTGTGTATCGTAATGAAAAAATGTAAAGTAAGTCAAATGTTAGTTTTTTCTTATTCAATTTTAAGACCATACATTTTGCTTCGGAATATCGAACTGAAATTAGTTTTACTATGCATAATGAAAGGGATTAAACTCAATTCTTCCAAACAACTTGCTTAAACACGTTTTCATATTATTTTAGTCGTTTCATGAGAAAGTGAAAGTCGTATGAAAAAATCTTTACATTTTTCAGATTTGATGAGGCTTTCAAAATATCTCATGCAGTTTTCTACTCCAGCACTCTGAAAAGAAAATTTTAGTATATTCTTGTAGAGAATTTCACGAGGACTCTTTTTATTTAAAAAATGAGCTCAATTATGAGTATAAAAAAGGGAGAAAATGTACAATGATTATGGGGAAATTCTTTCTGGTCTACCCGTTATACTCATTGTCAAAATGCATATAAAGTCAGAAGTAGAACTCTGATTGAAGTATCACCCCGCATTACATAAAACTCATATTATATTTATTAAAAAAAAACACTCCATTTTGCTATTATTGTATCGGTTTTGTTTTCGATAGATGATGTTTTTGGAATTTTTCGTAAACATATGTGATAGGGTCAGTGGGTATGGTACGAATCAAAGATGTTGGAAGATTGACACGTTTTGAGTGAACCTGTTCGACTCATCGCTAGCTAACAAGTTGGGCCTCTGACCGATTGCGGAATAGATATTCTCACGATTTACAGGTATCACAAGTCGGGTTGTACATTTTTTCAATCTTTCTTTGTACAACATGGGTTTACGTTCATTCTTTACGGCATTTCTATTGTTCTTTGGTTAAGCTACTATTAACATTTCTTTAGTTCTCCCAAACTTAGATTCTTTCTACTATTTGTTTTTACTACTTTGTCGTTCATGTCATTTACCGACTTTTTGCAAAGCATGTACACATAACAGGCGATGTAGAAGTTCTGCATTGATTTTTCATTCGATATGGCGCCGTGATGAAATATTTTAGAAACTTCATTTTTCTTTGATAAAAAAGCAAAATGTCTAGTGTAAAAATATATGAAAGACTTTGATTGGAATTTTTTTTCAAAAACCAGACTAAGTTAAAAGCAATGGACTTTAGAAAACTCTTTTGGAATCCATTTTGAATTTAGAAAAGATTTCATCGATTCAGATTGCTTATATATTCATGCGTCGAATGTGAATTGCTATCATTTTTTATATGACAAAGAGAGCTTATCGAGTTCTCTGCCTAAATGTAAGATATTCAGCCACACATTGTTTTTTGCTTTGTATATCTCAAATTGACTAAATGAAGCCGTTTGAGAATGTGAGTGTACATAGGGTATGAGTGTCGCGGTAAACGAAATCTACAGGCATCTTCGCGAAATCTTTTGAAACCGTATAGCCCTGAGGTCCGCTTTATATCCCTGCATTCATCTTGATTCAAAGAGCTCTATTCAAAGCACTATTTATAGTTATTTTAGATTAGATTAGTTTTTGTCGAAAATAGTTATTATATAAGAAGAAAAGATGGTCATTTGAGTTAGTAAATTAGTGACAAAAAGTACAAGGTTATCCAATGTTACCCAAAAAGCGATTGTAAATGAATGATCATCGTTTGAAAAAAATAAGATCTAAATGCTTTCCGATACTAGACACCATCGTGAACTGACCACGTTTTTAGTCTTCATGGCGCTTACATTAAAGCTGTTTTAGTGCATTCATAAAAGAAAACGGATAATACAGTATTTTGATTGAAGAAAAAAAGAAATTTCTCGACATTCTCGATCGACATCAATATCAGTTAAGAGAGACCTAAAAATAATCGTTGTTGTTAAACTTATATCGCACTTTTTTATATTTGAAATGATTGTATTAGTCGTAAAGAATTTTCTTTGAATGAATGTGAATGTGCATCAAATAGAAATCTTACTATTTAAAAATGATTCAATTCTCTTTCAATTCTAATTGCTATCCTTTGTTCATAGTAAAAAAAAATGAATCAACTATACAATAACTTCTTTAATGGATTTAAAATTATTTCGTATTGTCCATATTTTAGTGAAAACTATAAAACTAAAAACTTCTCATTTGTCTAATGGATTTTAATCAATAGTCTAAGTCTCGATTGAAAGAGGAGCTTAGCTCTTTCTAGACTATTCTGAAGACAACGATAAGAGAGAATCTTAATGTTTTCTAACTAAAAATTCACATTGATACTACTGTTATTTATACTTCGGTATCACATTTTCAAAGCGGACAAACAGGACTCATACATAGTGGTATTTTGCTAGTGCCATTATTAATTTTCTTCGCTTGGATCCTTCCTTCATGCACAGCTGGAAACTGTATTGCAAAAAAAAAAGAAAAAGTAGGCTTAATGCATTTAATTACTTTTAATATGACTGTTACTGTTTGTCTTTCTTTTAATTATATCGATAGTAGGGACGATGAATTCTTTTTTGAAAAGCAACAAAATAGAATGGCATACGAATTTAAGCTATTTTTATGTCGTTGCTATTGTATTCATATTATTAATGTGCACATTTCTCCTTGAATGTTTCATGTTATACATGAAAGTTCGAGCATCGATGATTGAGCTCGATAATTCTTCGATCTCAATATCTTGTCTGTCTCTTAATCTATTCTCTTTACGTCTAATCCCATTTGCTGTGTTTGGTGTATTGATGTTGATTGAGTCTTCAATGAATCGTAATATTGCTTCTCTTTTTATCATTATTATTGTTGTCTGATGCCCAAAGTATCTGCACGAGAAAATTTATAATCTCGTACTGCTACTACAGAATTTCTTACAAAACTAAGCAGAAAATATAAATTCAGAACGCTTTTCAACAGTGATAAAAAACGTTGCAATCAGCTATACGCGTTTTTCTATCTTTGGTCAATATCTCATTTATATTATCTGCAGATTATTCAGTGAATTTTTCAAATCATGTTCAGCAATGTATATTCAAACATTAGTTGCAGTCGATGGACATATAATAAAAGTGTTTCATGTCACTGGTTCAGCGTACGATACGCATGGTGATGACTTTATTTTTGGAATTTTTTCAGGTTCAATAAACAAAATCAGTCATAATAGATAAAATCAACACCATACTTTGCTTTTGATAATATAGTAGAACTACGTACTCTCATTCTTTAATATCTGAAGCAAAGAATAATTTGATTCTCCGCTCTTATCAGCATGAGACTCACATCAATTTATATTAAAAGCATTTATTTCCATTTCTGTATAATTGTTCAGAAGTTGTCATCCAATGAACGATTCGAGATATGTATTTGATATATTCGATCAGTTCATAGAGTTCATAGAATTGACAGTTTTTCGCTCATCAGCGAAACGTTAATGTATCTACAACTAATGTTACAACAAACAGTTATACGAATCTTTGACGATCTCAAATGATCTAGAGTGTGAGCGTGACTATCTACCATTCAATGTTAACAAAACTGAGATTCACTTCCACAGGCACGCCATTACATCTAAGAAATAAGCGATGCTAAAGATTTGCAAATGCGTGTCTGATATCATTTAATATGACAGCAGATAAAGGAACCACAAAATAACGTTTTACCTTTCTGCTTTCTTTCATAGGAAAGAACATCGAACTTCGAAATACGAGACGCAAAATAAAAGACGAGAATAAAAAAGACTAATGCGTGAAATATTTCGCTCACGGAGTACATAAAGAACACCTGTTGCGAAGTATTTTACATTATAAAGGTTAGTCATAAATAAAATAAAAGAAACCAATGTAAAGGTAGACATCGAAAATAAGTAAAAATCGATAAAGTTATTTTTTAGATTTTCGTGTTAGTTAACAGATATTAGAATGACAACTATTTGTCTCATTATGATTTTGATAATTATAAGTTCAATATTATATCTTTATAAACCTATATGTAAATTAATTGAACAAAAAACTATTTATTCATCATGTTTCAAAATACCTAAATGTGATTACATTCCTGTATTTGGTCATATGTTCACATTAGCTGGTCAAGTGTCAAAACGAGGTACGTAACTCCATCAAACAAATATCATTTTATCAAATGAATCTTTTTTTGTAGAACATTATCAACATCTTTTGAAGTATACTCGAGAATATGCAAAAGAACCGATCGTTTGTATCTGGTTCTTCTTATGGCCATGCCTTATATTTAATCGAGTCGACTATTTGGAGGTTCGTATTGATATCTCAGCTGTTGTTTACCGATTTAAAAGAAATCGTTTTTTGACTATATTGGAACGATCCCAAAGTGTTACATGCCGGTTTTCAATCTAATATATATCATTTTTCAGAGTTCAATAAAAATATTAAAACCTTAAAATTATTTATCCGCAATAGGCTGGATTATCGATAATTGACAAAGTATAGTGAAAAAATTGAATGACAAATTTCGTTCAGTTGTTTTTTGCACAGGTAGACCTTATTGTCTATGGCAAGCTTTAGAAATTTCATTCCTAACACATAGTTTGTACCTGAGATATCGAATCTGAAAGAAACTTGTTTTCTAACTATTTTTTGTGATAAATGATTTGTTCTTTTGCATTCAATATCTAGAGAGCACATCTTTCTTTTGAACTGAACTTGTAAAGCTTTTTATTCACCATGATATTTATCTATGGAAAAATTTTAGATCTTAACTCCAAGTCTACACGATATTGAACTATAGATACAAAAGATGGAATGTTTTGAACATACATGTATTAGACATAGCATGTTTTACTTTTTAAAAATTTCAAACAATCTGATGGAATTTCTCATTCTATTTATTTTTCTAGATTTTACTGGCAGCTGGTTCAAAGCATACAACTAAGTCTCCAGAATATAAGTTGCTTAATGATTGGTTAAAAACAGGATTGCTAATTAGGTCGGTTCTTTTTGGAAATGAAGATACGAAAACAAAATTTACTTGAATTTATGATAAAACATAATTCTCAATATTTTTCTTTAGTTCAGGTAAAAAATGGAAAACACGTCGACGAATTATAACTCCATCATTTCACAATAGTAGTCTTTTGCTTAATTGTATTGATACATTTAATGAACAATTAGACATTGGTCTAAAATGTTTTCAGAAATTAGCTGATCAAAAAGTAGAAACTAATTTATATCCATTGATTTCAGCTTGGACACTTGATGTTATTTGTGGTAATATGTATATTAATCATAAGATTCTCTAAGAATGACAATCATTATCTTTTAAATATAGAAACAGCAATGGGTAAAACAGTTCGAGCACAAATTGAAGAATCTGAATATGTAAAAGCTGTTATACGGTATAATTTTATTTATATGATTGATGACTCATTTGTTACATTTAAGAATTACGGAGCTTATAGCCCTACGAATGCGTTCACCATGGTTATGGCCTCGACCAATATTTAAGATTTCCGCTGAAGGTCGTGAACACGATCATCTTGTGAATATTATACATAAATTTACTCGGCAAGTAAGAATGCCAACAAACGAAATTTGACATTTGTATGATAAAATGCGAATTGCGTTTTTTTCTTCAAGATCTCCTTTAACACATTTTGTTACATGATATAGTTATTCATTTTCGAGTAAATTTATAAGTTATTGCTGATAAGTTTGATAGTAAGAATATATCTAGAGGTTTCTGCTTCGTTCAATATAGTATTCTAATACTATCATTTTCAGTCAATATCATTTACTAAAAAATAGATCATCACATTGTATTTGAGTTGAATCTGTTAAAAACTCGAAAGTACAAAGTCTTTAACTAATTTCATGTGAAAACTTTGATGTAGAAGAATATATTTTATTTTTTCTTTCGTAACACAAAGATATAGCGACGTAGGACCTTACAAATTCTACGAAATAGATTTCAAACAATTATATTTATAAAGGTTTCAGTGGAAATACGATCATAATTCATCAGCAAACGACTTTGTTCCTGTAACGATAGAAGACCATTAAAAATGTATTTAATACATTTCCCTACTCTACTACAATAAAATCAAGTTAATAAGAACCTTTCGTTTTAGTGAATACAATTTTCATAAATTAGCAAATTTCTTTTTAGGTAATCGAAGATCGTATTGCTGAGTTTTCTTCAATTCATCTTCGACATCGAATGGCTTTTCTCGATACACTTATTGCAAAAATGAATGATGAACAAATGTCAATTGATGATATACAAGAAGAAGTCGATACATTTATGTTTGAAGTAAATTTTAACTAATATTCTTTAATTATGATTTGAACAAATTTTAGGGTCATGATACAACAGCAACTGCACTTAATTTTGCTTTATTTATGATTGCACTTCATCAGGATATTCAACAACGTTTATTCGAAGAAATGCAAAGCATATTTGGTAAATCCTTTAATTAACTACTCCAATATATATTATTTGATTTTTAGAAAATGATAATGAACGTGCATGTACACTTGATGATATTACACAGATGAATTATCTTGAACGCGTTATCAAAGAAACATTAAGACTACTACCATCGGTTCCAATGATTGGACGAGAAATTCAAGAAACTTTCCAATATGGTCTGATTTTCTTTAAGTGATTTCTTTTTCAATCACTCTCTCTGTCTTCAGATGGTAAAACATTTTTAAAAGGTACAACAGCTATAATATTTATCTATGAAATTCATCGTGATCCACGGCAATTTCCTGAACCAGAAAAATTTGATCCTGATCGATTTTTACCTGAATTAGTTCAACAACGATATCCATATGCATACATCCCGTTTTCTGCTGGTTCACGAAATTGTATTGGTATGCAGAAAAATTCTTTATACTCGTTTTATATTGATTTTATCCTTTTTTACGAAAGGTCAACGTTTTGCTTTGCTGGAAGAAAAAGTGTTTCTTTCAACAATAATTCGTCGATTTCATCTAACAACAAGTCAAAGTTATCAAGATTTTGTACCGACCGAACAAATAATTCTTCGTTCTGATAATGTACTCAAAGTGAAACTTATATCACGCACATAAATCTATATATAACAATCGATATTTTATTTTTTGGTAATATATTGATTTGTTTTACGAAAATCATAATGCGCTACAGGAGATTTAAAGAGTATACTTGAATAATTAGTTAATTGCTTTGAAAAATAATGAGAAGAAATAAGATTTATGAATATTTCTAGGTTATTTTACTGATTCAAAAGCCTATTGAGAAATATACCATGAATGAAGAGTGATGTCTTCTATGATATTGGTAAAAATTCAAATAAGTACCAATATAAGGATTATAAAGATATACCTCGATATCTTTAATACAATAGAACCCAGTAGTTGCGAGTCGGACTCGAATATTTTGGGATCAACGGGTTTTAGTTGTCTGAGTACTGCGTGAGGTATATTATTCACTGAGTACAACAATTCGTAAAAAATTATTTCGCGTCTTCTGCCAAACTATACAATGTCGATTAGAAAATTTCATTTAACGTATCAAAGTAAAGATAGGTTGAAGAAAAATGATGTATTCACACCAAAGCCATCT